AGGGTAGTTTGGTATATATAAGAGGGGACAACGTGACGCGAGATCAAGGTGATGTGTGTGTGTGTGTAGACAGTGAGTAATTGATCTGCAGTCAGAAGTATTATTGAGCACATTCGTTGTTATAGCGTTTGTTTAGCGCGATTGTTGAAGTTGAGTGTATCGGTAAAGTTATATTCGGAAAGAATAAACCAGTTTTATTAAGGTCTTGTGTCGCTTAAGTTTCGTCGGAACGAAGTTACGAAAAATCAATTAACAAGCGGAGACGTAACAATATGTTAGAGTTCACAAAAATACTAAAATTGAAATTTAGGCTTTCCAAATCACTAACTTAGAGAGTAATCTTAAGAGTTCATGATGACCATATGACCACATTGTTGACTACAACTTTTGTACAGGGTTCTGAATAATTATGTACCATTAATACAATTATTTTGGAGTGAAAATTTCATAGTCATGTTACAGCAATTTGTTGTTTTAGGTCTTCATTAAAATGGGCCAATTGATGCAGAACCCTTGCCATAAAACATAACAACAAAGTTACTATTTATTAAATGAATTTTTTTATTTTATCTTTAAGAAGATTTCCTAACAGTAGAACACCTTAATTCAATCATAAACACACTTTCAATAAAGACATGGCAGGAGATTTTCATAAACTCAGTGAGAAATGTACAATTGATGCAGAAACCTTGCCATAAAACATTACAAAAAATGTACTCTCGTCTACGAGGAAAATCACGAAAAGCCAGAACTAGCCAATAATGTGGTTATCAGGGGATTACCAGAAAATGAAAAGGTAAATGAAAATAATTGTATTAAGAATATCCTGAATTTCAACAGCATATGTACTACACCAAAGAACATGAATAGATTTGGAAAGAAATTGGAACTCCCAACAAATGAAGTTATTGCAAACAAGTTCCACAAAACTTAGTCAAACTCTAACCTAGACCCCTAAAAGCCATTTCTGAAAATAGGAGAATCAAGAAGGATGTGATCAGTAGAGGGACAAACATCAGACATGTGTCTAGTGATGAATTCAACCATCCTTACTAGATGAAACTTGAAAAGTAGTAGGACATTAAACTCAGACTAGAATTTTTGAAAAGATGTGAAGATGACCCAAATTTGGAAGAAGGAACCTTTGCAAAAAGAGGAATCTTCTTAATATGCATAAATAATCAGAGAGAATATCTAACACTGTACATATGATCCTTCAATGCACAAGTTTTAGTTTTCTCAAATAATTTTGCACATTTACAAGACTTAAAATTTGCACAACATAGATACTGTTTGTGTGACACAGACATTGTTTGTTAGCACAGTTTTAGACTCTGAAGTAGTTTAGGTGAGATCTACAGTTTTTTTTTGTTTTTTTTTTTGTAGAGACAGCAATCTTTAATTCTACAAATATGAAACACATTTTCAGCTGGACAGAGAAGGGGTACAGATGTTGGCCAAACATTATATTCAGTGTCAACCAAAAATTGTGTTGAAGCTGAAATATGTTGGATCACAGTCAATACCCAACTAAATGTACAAATTCCAGTAGGTGTATTCTATCAACCAAAGAAAGATAAAGCTAAGACTTTAGAGAAAATATGTAAGTAAATTGTTAATACATCATATTGTAGAATCATGAAATGCATTTCTCATTAGCAGAAGAACACTGTAAAATATGCTTACCCAAGTAGTAGACAACTTTGTTTGTTTTGAATTTCGCGCAATGCTACACGAGGGCTATCTGCACTAGCCGTTCCTAATTTAGCAGTGTAAGACTAGAGGGAAGGCAGCTAGTCATCACCACCCACCGCCAACTCTTGGACTGCTCTTTTACCAATGAATAGTGGGATTGACCGTCACATTATAATGCCCCCATGGCTGAAAGGGCGAGCATGTTTGGTGTGACAGGGATTCAAACCCGCGACCCTCAGATTGCGAGTCAAGCGCCTTAACCACCTGGCCATGCCGGGCCGAGTAGACAAGCTAATAAATTGTGAAACATGTTAGAGTTGACTCTAGCAAGTGATCAGGCCATGATGGAAAAATGTATTGTTGACAAGTAATTCATATCTAGCAATTACAATACTATATGGCTAGCTATGAAGTATCAAATACACAGGATCAATTTGTTCCCCACCAACATGTTTATCTGAAATACAATCACAATTCAGTATCACATAATGACAGGAGGATGAGTGGGATGCCAAATGTAAATGAAAATTATTCTCAGGCTGTTGGAATTAACTGAAAGAAACTTTGTGATCTATTAAACAAGTGGGTTCTGAGCAAATCCATGAAATCTAGAAAGAAAAATGGATCACCATGCACACAATGTTGTTATGTCAATTTGAAAAACACAGAAAATCCAAGCTTTATTCTGACAAAGAAACAGATAAAATACTCAGGGGACAAATATCTAATTATGTAGATAAATTAGCACAGCAACTTAAAGACAATCCCAAAAGATTTGGAACTATACTAAATATTTTTCAAGGTCTTCTTGTTTGGTAGATGTTTTATAGAAAGGTGGTGTTAAATTCTCTGACAATATAACAGCCATAAATACTGAATGACCACTTCATATTTGTGCTAATTAGTAAATAACTACTGCAATGCTCCATTGGATCACGCTTTAAACTCTCTGTTGTGTAATATAGAGATATCTCCAGATTACTGCAAAAACTTAAACCAAACAAAGCATGTAGTCAGGATAAAATTCATGTGAACATCATTCTGCAATATCTAGATCTCAACAAACCACATTCTTATGTATTCAACTTGTCATTATGTTTTGGTCAGGTACCACAAGATTGGCATGATGCTAATGTGACATCACCAAGAGCTAGAACCAGTGGATCAACATTACAACTAATTTCCTGATAAGTCAAGTAGTCAAGCTATTGGAGACATTAGTACAGGATGCAATAATCAAATATATATATAAAAAAAACTAGTGTCTTGTCACCAACAAGACTTTCAATGGAAAAGATCTTGTGTTGAGCAACTGATAAAATGATTGAATGATTAGACCATGTCTTACAACAGCAGAAAATCAACCAGTATTATTTTTCTAGATTAGGATGGTCTTTATTTGCACATACAATTTCAGATAAAAAATTCTTAAAGCTCTCACCCACTAATTTTGTTCCAATGTACATAAAAAAAACAACAATTAAATGTCAAACTTCATCCATTTTGAACCATATTTAGAGGTTGAGGTTCTAGATTGCAGTGGCCTGGTACTGTACATACTATATGACAAAAACATTTGTTATGTATTATAAATGATTTATTTAAAGCATATTACTTTATTGCATGTACAACAGTAAAATTTCATAACTAAATTGGTGTGGTTAGTCACTTTTGCATTGTTATTGATTCCTTTTTGCTGTTAGGAAAGTTTCATAACTGGACTGGTCATGTATTCCAAAGGTTGCTGGAATCAGTTGAAAACTGCAACACCTAGACCAGAGTGAAAGCCCTTACAGTCTTTGAAAACACATGCCAAAACAAGTTCTAAGATATGATACAGAATATTCCAGAAGTAAAAAGTGACATTCTGAATAATGTGGAATACTTTCCAAGATTTCAGAATATGCTACAATATTCCAGAAAGTGATAGAATATTCTATAATAATATGCTAGAACCTTCCAGAATTATTTAGAATATGCAGATACAATGTGAACTACAAGGCAAAATTTCAACTACCTTAAGCAACAGCTAAATGAGGGGGTAAGAATGTTGTAAATCAAAACTTCAAAAATAAGGACCACCCTAATCTATATTTTGCTATAGTTCCTCATCAGCACTTTATATCGAAATTATAGAATGCTGGTACTTCATTGGATCTCATCTTTTCTCAGCTGCAGATGTCAAGGAGTTGTAATCCATGAAGTGACTATACATGGAAACCACTCACAAGCACCATTCCTCAGGGATCAATCCTAATACTGATGCTATTCCAAACTGCAATCATACAACTGCAAAAATGTTTACTGGTGACACTAAACTATACCATAAAATCAAGTACAAGTCTACCATGTTCTTCAGGAGGACCTTAATACTCTTTCAGCATGGTCAAAGAAATGGCTGCTTTGATTCAATGAAACCAAATGTACTAACAATTTACAAGTCTATCAAATTAATGTATTCTTTAAGCAGAATCACTATAAACAGGAAAACAAACAGAAAGACCTAGGAGTTATCATCGTAGACCCAAAACAACCAAACAGACTTATAACTAGTATAGGCAAGAAAGCAAACCAACAAACAAGACTCATAGATAGAAACATGTTTTACAAGTTATACTCAGAAGAACGTTTTGACCTTGTACAAAAACCTTTATGCAACTGATACTAGAATGTTTCACAAATATTGAGTATCCTTTTTCAAAAAATATCACATAAATCAAGACAATTGAATGAAGATACATCAGTTCTGTAAACCAAGTGCGTTTGAATCATTAGAGCTCCATAGGTAGTGTCAATACAAAAACAAGTACAAATCAGGAAGTTTCTCTCTGTTCCCAACATGTACATTACAAACTTGTTCCAGACTAAGAGAGCATGGAATTATATAAAAGATTATATTTTATAAGATCCTTCTTAGTGCGCATGAACTACCCACACCACTGATGATCATTCCGAAAGAACAATGACGAAGATTCTGTCCACAAGGTATCACCTAACCCACCAGTGGAAAAGATCATTGTCCACCTTTACCTAGTACATTATAGTTTCAGCAATCCTTTCCACGAAAAAGCCCATATGTGGAACCATATGGGAATGACACAGAACAGTGGGTAGCTAAAACGAAAAAAAGATTTCTTAATCCACATTCTATTGTTAAAACCACAAAAATAAGCATGATATGTGACAAATCTTGAAAATTATTGGTGAAATTAAAACGACCACATTAAGATATAAAGTTACGAAAACATACTAGGTACACGTCTGCACTATTTTTCAGCATGGGAACTTCGACCAAACTTCAAAGTACTGAAAAGGAAATAACAACAAGGAAATGAACATATTTTTGTACTGTACAAGGCGCACAATAACGTACCTAAGTGGCTAGGCCTACATAAGTATGTTTTGTGACAGGTTATGCGGTCACACATGGATTGAGTTTATTAACATACTAAACCTACTGACTTAGTATTACAAAGAACTAGAAGACTTAATACAAAGAAAAGATATTCCCGATTAGTTATTTTAATTTGGGTTACAGTAATGTAAACAACAAAACTAAGTTATAAGAGAACAACAGATTCAGGTTAGTTCTTGTAGTAGTACCACCAGTTTACGGGAGTCGGGAATGATCTTCTAAGCTCAGAATAGTCTCTTTGAAAAGTATTTATTAATAGAAGTGTGGTAATTAAAATATATTACTGAATATAATTATGTGATAACGATGTTTTTTATTTGCAATAAGTTCAGTCGGTTGAATAACCACTTCAATGTAACTCGACCGCAACAAAACTAAGTGTCCATTATTAAGTATGTAAAACTAACTAACTTCTATGTTCTAAATCCGTTCAAATTCTTTCTTGGTAACTTATTATATTAACAGCGATAATGAATTTTTACTTAATTGCAACACTTCCTTTATCTACATTTTTTGTCTTAAGTATTTTGTAAATAAAACAATTATTAGATTTTAATCAGTAATAGAAAACGTATTGCGAAAAATTATTTTTTGTATGCACAATTAAATTATCTTCAGATTATTATGCAAAACCCAAAAAAGCACACTCAGTTGGTTAATTCTAATAGTGTTATAAACCTTGTGTATTTCTTAGCCACAAGTATAACGTCATATCAATGACAGGGGGTCTGCACCTATTTAAAGGACAACTACATTGTGTTTTTATAAGGTTTTCTCCTACATTAAAATAATCCGTAGATGTTCCAAGAATGCTGGATAAGTTTACTGATTTACTAGGCAAAAAATTTGCCAGAAGATGATGTAAAGTACCAAATTAAGTAAAAACAATAACGAATTAAACGTTTCGGTACCTTCCCTGGGATGGTGTCTTTATTCAAATCTTGCTCAAACTTGAGAGATGCGTAACCTTTGTTATCTCCACTGATCAGGTCATTTGTGTTATTCATACTGGTCCCGTGTACAGCAAACCAGCTAAAAATTACCAAATTAAAATTTATTACATGTGATATATTTTAAACAATTTTTAGAGGTAAAGAAATGCTAGAATTTCTGAAGTTCGCACGAACATTATAATAAAAGATACTTTCTTTTGTAACATGTATAAATATATCTTAAGCGCTTGTGGTATTCTCAGAGTATGTATGTTACATCCTGACTGATATGGCAATCGGATTTACTTTTAATACTTTGTTGTTTTTTTAACAGGATAACTTCGTTGATTGGTCTCACTGTTTCACTTATCTACTGGATAATTTCGTTGATTGATTATTGCTAGCAATGGTGTAATATTTAGACCTAGTCTCACTGTTTCATTTAACTACTTTTTTTTACCAGAATAACTATATTGATTGGTTATTGCTAGCAATAGGATAATATTCAGATCTAGTCTTACTGTTTCATTTAACTACTTAGTTTCGTCAGACACTGAAACCGATTAAACGAGAATAACGAAATTGTTTGTTTGTTTGTAATTAAGCACAAAGCTACACAATGGGCTATCTGTGCTCTGCCCACCACGGGTATCGAAACCCGGTTTCTAGCATTGTAAGTCCGCAGACATACCGCTGTGCCACTGGGGGCCAATAACGAAATAAAACTTCAGGAAAAAAAGCACAAAGAGGTATAAAATTTTACTTTATAGAAAACAGGGCGTTTTTTTTTACTGTAACTTACATAATTTCTTAAGAAGAAAGCTAATCAATATTATCATAAATTCACATGACGGCTTGAAATAAATCACCTCATTCCATTGAAATAAACTGTATTAGTTTTATCTATTAAAAACCATAATGAAATCTAACTTTTTTCATCACCATAATACGAATCTAAAAGTACATAACAGCATTCTAACTACCTTTTTTTTCTGTTCTAGACTGATACTGCAGTTACCGTAAATGCGATTATATTTCGCCAGTTTAAGCGATATCTAAACTACCATTTGACACAACACTGGCCGTGTGTCCGCTCATAGCTAACGAACTGCTGAGCCGAATGTCACCAAATCGAATATTTACCCCTAGGGCACCAAGGAGAGCGACTTAATGGAATTGTCATTCGGACCTGACCATAAATGTCACACACCCCCGTCACTTTGTCTTTCCCGTGCGTTGGTTTTTTACTTTGACGAAGAGACGGCACGCAAAACCAAATAATATTTTTTTGTTAAAAATGACATGTTTGTTTTGAGCGTAATTGTGTGTGCGTGAATTTATTTTGTGAAGAGACACATTTCAACTGAATATCTAAAATGGTGAACAAAAGCAACCAATTATTTTTTGTTGTGGTAATCTAAGTGATAAACAAAGAAAAAATCAAATAGTCTTCAAATGCCGGACAGCTGTCTCCTGTGCTAAAATGTAATAAAAAGCACTTCAATACTTACTTAATCATCCCAATTGGATTATTTTCCAGGTCTGTAAGCTTCAGTAAAAACATATCCTTGTCTACATTATAATTGAACCTGCAAGTACGGAAATCACATCATCACAACTAAATTATACACAATACCGTTTGCTGGAATTTCCTTGATATTTATTTTAATTACAACTAAAAATGTTTCAACGTTTAACCACCCTCTGTTTTGGCCCAAAATTTGTCAAGTTTCATTGAAAAAGCGGCCCACCTCATCAGGAGTTATGCTAGATTTACTCCACGACCGAGTAAAAAATAGAAATAAAAAAAATCACGAAAATATAACGTCTGAAACATAATTAATTGATCATAGCCATTCTTATAATAACGAAAATACAATATACATTATATTTATTTTCAGCTTTTAAGCTCTTGTTCCACGAATTTGAAACCCTTTTCATAAATTGATACATAAAACTTTTCATGCTGGAGACGGCTTGAATGGGTAATGAAGAAAATCTTTAATATAAGTTTAATATAACAGCAAATGTACAACGTTTCGACAAGGGTTTGTCACCTCAGTAACATTTCTCGTTCCACCCATCTACCATCAAACTTCTAAGTAATGAGGTCATACCTCTCGAAGACAGTCTTCTGAAAAAGTTCAACCTATTTTTCGATGTGTCAAAGACGGTTTTGTAATACAAGTACTGACTAGTTTTCTACGAATATACAGGATATTAAACCTACAGTCATGTTGAAATGACGCAAATACAAATACGGAAGTTTAGTTGATTTTAATCAAAAATATCTTGATATCTGGCCTACTTTTCACGTTCATCGTGGGGATTGTTTTCATACGCATTGGGACTTCTATTAATGCTGGCATTGTGCAATTCTCCCTGATCCCAGTAGATGTGGCCATCTTGGACGTTCTCGTGAGCGCGTTCGATACTCTGGAGACAATTAAAAGTTATGAATGAAAAAATCAGTTTTCTACGTTTTTATGATACGATTGGAAAATACAAAAAAAAACACATCTAAAGTAAATGAGTAAAGTGTATGAAAATAACAACAATCGAAAAAAAAAGATTCGAGCACTTTCGAAGGACCTTTTTTGTCAGGAACAAAAGACTCTTCGCTAAATTCACTAAAAATAACTTTGTTAAACAGCAACAAGCATTAACAATATTATTTTATATTTCACATAAAATTGGTATATCTCTCACTGAACTAGCGTAGCCTCGATAATCGAGTAGACCTTTGAAAATGAGAAACGCAGCATACAAAAGAAAAAAAAATGACGAAAAGTGCCGACATGATATACTTCACAGCAACAAAGTATCGCAAATGACAATTCAAAAAGCACTACAACATCCGAAATTTTTAATGGTGTCTTGAAAATGTTGACCTAAAAATTGAGAATGACCAACTGTACAGTAACTTATTCTAGAATAACTGCTAAAAATCTTCAATAACAATTAATGATAGTTCGTCTTAATTATGAGTGACAAGTGAATTACTACAAGTCTCTATGACCACTCTGGCCTAAGTCATCAGTTGCTTGTTAGCGGAGTTTTCGGTCTTTATCCCAAGAACACCTAACAAGTGAATTATTAAGCCCCGAAGCAAAATTTTCAAAGGCAATGATACATGTACCAGATTTATCACACCTGGCTTATGTAGTTTTTACTATTTAAGAAATTTAATGTTATATATTAGATATAGTTATGCGACTAAAATACATAGTGGTCAGAAACATAATTCTTGAAAAGTCTTCTAGAAACAGAAGCTAAATTATATTACCTCGTGAGCAGTAATCACTACATTAAACATGAAAATAAATAATTATGACTTTACATACATACCTTAACTATGCCCTCCACTTGGGCGTCAAATGTTTGTCTAATAAACCCTTGAGACATAATGAGGTACAAGACATACTGAAGAAATCCGGCAGGGGTCGAATGGGTGTGAGTACTACTTAACAGAACATTTTTCTCCGAGTACAGATCACCAAATTTTTCTTGGAGAGCTTTAACCACCTGTAAAAATACGATTCTAATTCATCATTCAACGTCAATATATTCTACTACTTCCTTTCATGGTTTTCTAAAGTGATTTGTTATGAGTTGTTTAACTTTCTAATTATCGACTTATTTTTATACCATCTAGTACCAATGGGATCTACATTTGTGATAGGCAAAAATGTAAAACTTCTTAGTATAATACAACACTCAGTGAAAAGAAATAGACAAAATACTGAGTGAAAAAAATTAGTGGTTCTAAGGTAGAACACTTATGTACATATCAAGCAAAGGTTGATGTCCTGAGACAAGAAAATGGCGATTACTTGTAGTTTCAAAACTGGTTCGAGTAATTGTTTTTTCATGTTATAAGAACGAACCAGGATCTGATGTCCCAATGTTATCACATGTTAAAAAACAAACAAAAAAATTCCCGAAGTTTAACACTTTTACACGTATTAATTAATGTAAGTCGCTTTACAAACTTTCTAACGTTTATACGATAAATAGACTATCCCTGAACAAGATTTTTACATAAAACCAGTAACATTTTCATGCATTCGCCCATTGATATAATTAATATTTATTACACCTTTAAAGCTAATCAACGGCAATACTTTGCAATAGTTATACATAGTTATTATGATTTTTCAGTTAATATTTGTTTCATTAACTATATTTTTCTTTTGCTACTAAATAAATGTGGATGTAATTAAACTTTCACGAACATATGGAAGTGGTTTTGTTAAAAGATTGTGTCATGAAATCAACGGTACACATTACAAACAGCTGTGAGGCTAGGACTTAGAAAAATCTTGGTTGTGCACACCTTAATGTAACGGAACGTGATGTTAGCCTGAATATTTGTTAAGATATGATATGTAATTAACGAAAACTGGTGCAAGCAAAAGTATTTTTTACGTCTACATATGTGTTGCTATGATGCGGGAATATTATAAAAAAATTAACAAATCTGTGGTAAACCATTAAAGTCAAAACATTGATTTGTCTTATGTAAATAAACTAATAATTATAGTAAAAAATTTTAAATGAAGTGTCAATATTGTTGCTGGCCATGCTTTTTGTTGTTGTTAATTTAGACGGTTGTATTGTTGTTTCACCCAAGGGCGGGAGGTTTCACGTCACATGATGGGCATGGCTTAATGATCAGAATCTTCTTAAAAATTCAGGAAACAATTTGGACAAGATAAAAGAGTGAGTTATGCTAGATAATAGATATGAAACTGATCAATGAATTAGAAAACTCGTTAATTATTTAGTTTTGCGAATATTGAGATTACATTGCGATGAAGAAAGCGAGATAGGTGAAAGTGTCACATGCACGAGAATTTAAAGAGAACAAAATTGTTGTGAAATTAGGCATATCAGCGTACAATAATTAAGATAGCTTGTGAAACTTGAAGTTCAAAGAACAAAATCTTTCGTTATCGTTAAGTGGACTGGGCTTTGTATTATTGTTTATCGAAGAACTTAAAAGAATTCATCCAACCATAGAAAGAGTTACAACAATAAGGTCAGAAGTGGAATTATTTTGATGAACATAAAATAAGAATCCAATCTGAACTGCAACTGAAGATGGTACATTCTTTTGAATAGAGATTGAGAATTTAATGGAAATTATTAAACAGTGGTCCAAAGATCAAGAAACAAAAAACAATTAGAAGAAAAAGAGAAATTTCAAACATGAGGAAAACAGTTACAGAAAAATATGGAATGGAAGAACACATCTCACATCTCTTCTACATCTGTCACCAGCATTATTTTGCTACCTACGATTGCCCCTCACAGACTACCTCAGCCACACCATTACTTCAAAAGATGGTGGAATTTAGCAAGCCAGTTAAACAATAATGCCAAATCGAGAAACTAACGTATTATGATGGAAATATACCTTTGGGGGACAAGGTGGGGGTCAATTAATTTCTAATGTGAATTGATGGATTAGGGAACAACTAGTTGTTCATCTTGCTGCGCATTTAATAACACTAGCTTTAACAGCATTAAGCAACTTTACAACAGACAACTGTAACAACTACTAGGCATTATTGGCCGACTTATCAAACACATTTGGAGTGTCTCATTAGAAGGAAGTTTCTAAAGTAAATTTTAAGAGAAAGGAAGGACGAGATCTTAAATGAACTTGAAGATGTGGGAAAGCTTGCACAGTTATACTATCCAGATGCTCTTGTTCGCACACGACTAATATATATATATATTTCATAGTGGGCGAGGATATTCGAATTCAGCTAGAGTAAATTATATGTACATCTTTAAATGAACTTGTCCAGATGGTGGTGGAAATTGAATCCATTAAAGGTGTACATAAACAACTAAAAGCACCTCTCAGAAATTATGAGATCATCAGATCAAATAGTGGAAACATCAACTATGAAACATGAGACATTACACCCGATACTGTAATGTATCAATCATTGGTAATAAACCAAAAAAGCGATATCCTGATGTCGAGAATACACCATTTGCCGAATAAGTAGTCCAATATTTTAAAAAAGGTACATAAATCAATGGATTTATTGACAAGAAGCCTTGTACTAATACTGGTTTTGCCGTTACTATTGTTCGAACACCGTGTGTTGAAAAGTTAGGAAACGAACTGAGCAGTCAAAACGCAAGTTAGGCTGGAGTATGTAGTTGATTGGTTATTGAGTTAGAGAGATTGTTAACCAACTTGTCTCTTAGTTCAGTTTGTAAATATAGAATTTGTTTTGATGAATAAAACTAGGTGTGAGAAGGTGCCTGGGGATTGAAATAATAAAACTAAAATACTGGCTTATTTTTTAATGAAGTTGATGATTTGATATCGCATGGAGGAAAATGTGCGAATTTCTTTAGGGTTATTGTGAGAGTTAAGTGTAAGGTTATTACTTGTGGAGTTATAACGATTGTTTTTACAGTTAATATTGCGCGATTCACTTTTAATAGTTCATGCTTTACTATTAATAACGGTTGATTTACATAACAACGTTATCGTAAATAATAATGCGGGATATACTTTGGTTGATAAGTCATGCTTAAGTCGCTCCCAATAATATATCATTCACTGCTAATATACTTGAAGATAAAATACTACCGTATTACTCAATACCTATATGTCAAAGCTGATTCATATATTATGCTGTACGATATATAATTTTCTATGCATATTGTACATTGTTATGTATGGTCTCTCGTGCATAAAGCCTTTGCAAAGCTATAAGGTCCGGTTTCGTGAAAGAAACTCTTCGGTAGCTTATACACCCAACTTCAATAACAAGACATTTTTATTCTTTGAAGCTGGAATATAAAGGAAAAACGTTCATGAAACGAAGAGTATCGATTCAAATTAAATCACAAAGTCACCATTTCATATCACAGCATGAGAGGCGGCGCCCTCTGAGCGTTGCCAGGCGCCGTAACGTACCATTCTGATCCAGTTATTTAAGAGGTCAACAACACCGGAAGAACGAAGAACAAGTTCAATAGCTAAAGGGAGTTCTGACGAAATATTCCTAGCAGTGACCGTGACACGATTTCTTCCGTGTTATTGTTCGAAACAACCACATTAGGGCCAAGCTTACATACATTACTCACGTTGTTGGTATAACACCATAGGCCAAGTTTTACTGTGCCTTTTAAATCTAGTTTATTCTAGTGTTAACTAAACGCTTAATAGTTTCAGCTCTATTTAGCGTTTTTGTTTACTTTGAAACTTCACACACTTTACCTAACTACTACAAGCTGAAAACTGCACAGCCTAAGAATTTGAATGTGTGTATTTCACATAATTCGTTGTTGACCTGCTAAAGTCTTGTGTTTAAGATAAAACTTTATGGTTCGGACACGATGAAAATTTACTGATTCTATCATGGTATAAAACATTCAGATACTTTAAAAGAGCCGTCGCAACGTATGATAATAAATATAACTATTACCGTACACAGTCCCTTTTTTCACTATGGTGACACACGAATGAAATAACTTCATTTCTGTCTTAAAACAAAACATAAAAAATGGTGACTGACCTCTAGTTTCACGAGCTGCGAAGCCATGCCATTGTCCAGACTCGCAAATACTACACGGTTATTTCCGTCACCAATAACGAAAGCTCGGCTGTATTGACGAAAATGGATCCCACCTGTTGTTTGGCTCATCTTGGCGTAGCCCATCTTTTTTTACCAAGAAAACAAATAAAATCCGATAATATTATTATTAAGTAAATAACATGACATAAAGCAAAACACTGTTATCGAACCATACAGCAAACGACTGTTTCTTTATCGTACCGTACAGTAAACAACTGTGGAAAATTGCACATACTACGGTGAAAGCACTAAAATTAATACTATTTTTGTTTTTCTTCAAAAATATGTGATTCCAAAAATTGCAAAATCTCTACAGTTGGACAAAAACGATGATAATTTGAACAAGTCTTGTCATTTTGTTTCTTTGAGAATGACATCTTATAAAATTAAAATATAAACTTCATATTAAAATAATATAAACATATACAGGAAAACGTTGTTAAAAGCATGACTATTGGAAAATCTATATTTGATATTACAGTATTCTAACCAAGCAGCATTTAAACTGGAACATTTTTTTCTAAAAAAGCTATGACATTCTTTCTTAAATCAGTTTGGTCTAGTGAAAAATAATATTATAATAAAGATTTATATATTAGGTCGTCAAGAATTTAATGTCGCGTTTTGGAACACGTTCATTAACCACTCCTCA